TAGACTCATAATATTCATAGTCGTCTGCTTTCTTTGGTTCATAAGGTATAACAAGTTGTATGCTTTGCCTTCTTTAAGGTTTGAGAACCTTCTGTCAAAATTTTCTTTGACTGCTAAAAACCTTCTATGTCTAAGTCTTCAAATTTCGCACCATTTTTAGTCACAATAGCAAACTTAACTGGTTCGATGTTCCAAACTTTGTCAAATGAAGACTTTTCAAAATGGTAGAAGTAAACATTCAAATAAGCGAATGGGTCTAGTTCTTCTTTAAGTCCTGACATATATTTGTTGACTGAAATATATTTCGTCATCTTTTCTATCGGATAAAAAAAATATTTTTTTTTAAATTTACTCATAAAAATTTTTCTTTGTATTACACCATCTGAACATCTAAAAGATTTTTGACATTTGCCAAGAATGTTCGTTTAGAGCTGCCATATAACCATATTCTTGACAATATTGTTTATATGAATCGTACAATGACCTTTCATCTAAACACTCAAAGTTAGTCTCATCTATAAACAGTTCATATACACTCTTGTTTGCTTCTAACAATGTTTGTCTCTCTTCGGTATGTGGAATTTGTCTTGGATTGAACTTAGAAATATCTAATGTCATGAAATATGAGAACAAGTGGTTGTAAAAGTTAGGTGTCAAAGTTTCTGCTAAGTCGTCAAAATATTCTGTATCTTGCATATGAGAATCTGACGTTCTGACAACTACATATCTTCTGTCAGAACTTTCTAACTTCATCGGAACGGCGTTGTTTGAAACCATAATGAAGTTTGCAACATTTTCACAAACTCTTTGGTCTTTATATTTTCTTTCAACAACTCCAACTTTGTCTGTTATAAGACTCTTCAAAGCATCCGAGTTCAAAACTTTTGTTGTATCTATACTTTGAAGTTCGTTACATACTATAAGTTTCATATTCTCTATTGAGGAGTTAAACTTGCCACAGATGTTTTCTATGTTTGTCATATTCGGATTCGAATAACCTTCTAATAGTTTGCACAAAATATCTGTAAAGAATGTGTTCTTACCTGTTCCTTGTTTTCCAATTATAATGAGAGCAGTTTCATTTTTAGCACTTGGATGTTGTAAGATATTTGCAAACCAACATAAGATATACTCATAGACTCTTTCGTTTCCATTGCATATAATTTCTTTGACATGGTCTAACCAAGCTTCTATAATATTTTCTTTCCATTCTACTTGTTCATATTTATATCCAGTGAAGATAGAATAGAAGTTTGGAGAAGGTGTATAGAACTTTATACCTCGAACTGAAAAATCTTCTAACTTTGACAATAAGATATCCCAAGCATCTAACATCTTCATGCCAACTTGTACAACTTTTATTTTCTTAAGTTTCTGTCTACATTCTTGTTCAGACACTATTGTTGCTCTTGGTTTGTTAAAGACAACATCCCATTTTTCATGACATAACATTCTGGGCAGAGTCGACATAAAATGACTAAACGTTTCAAATTCTCGACTGCTTTGTTATAGTCTCGAAATGGACACATATTTCTGAATGCTTGGAAGTTCATAAAAAATCTGAAACATCTATTCTGTACATTTTTATAAAATAAAAAAATAATATTTTTTATTCTTGACTTTGTTGTTCCATTTGTTGCATTTGTTTTCTTGAGCTATTTGTTGTTGAAGTTGTTCTTGTAATACAATACTTTCACCAGTTGCATCTTCCCAATTCGAAACTTTCTGCCGTCATTGACAAATACATAGGACATAAAAGTTTACAGGAACAAAGTTTGCGTCAACTAATGTCAACGTTATACTTGCCAAAGTGTTTGAGTTCACTAAAGGTTGAAAATTCTGCATTCGAATGAACAATAGGCAAACCAGCAGAGAAAGTATTGTTTATACGCATAAGTATCTTTGGTCATAATAGTTTCTGTCGACATTCGAATAACACTTTGAACCTAAGTTTGAAACAATATATAAAATAGGTGTGCTTAAAGTCAATGGAACAGACAAACCTTGTATGACACCTTTTCCTGTTATAGGAAACTGTTGGTAGTAAAAAACCAGATATAAGTTTTGTATTATAGCTCATATCGTTTATAGTAAACTCAGTCGGACATCCAAACATAATGAAACCTGCTCTAGTTGCAGCACATGTTACATCCGTCCTTAAAGTATTAAATAAGTCAACAAAACCTGTTGGTGGTATATCTGAGTAAGTATCTTCAAAGGAGTATTTTTTTACCATTCACAACAATAAAGTCTTCTGGTGTCAAAAGAGCAAAACAGGCTTTAGTCGTCATTGTGTTTAAAGTTAGTTTACAATACCGTCCTTGAGGACTTTGTAAGTTTGTTGTTATAGAATTATATGACTCAGGGTTTTTAGTCGTAATAGTATAAACCATTATGTCTTCTGCCATTTACTTAGCAAGTAAATTTTAATGAAATGTTGTGGTCGTCAAATATTTTTATGACGTCTGGGAAACTATATTTTAAGTTCAACGTTTCACCTCCTTTCATAACGTATATCTTGTCAATGACATTATATGAAACACCACAGCAAGCAATGTCTCGGGTTCTATTTCTTTGATGTTTATATCGTCTGCCTCTGTCAAAAGTTTCAATAGTTCTTTCAAAATTTCATGAGGTGCAATGACATATGAGTTCACTTTTACAGGGTTGTGCTCAACCAAGTTTAACATTATACCCAAAGCCTGACAAATCTTCTTCCTGAGTTTTAAGTTTGTCTTTAAGTTGTTGGTAGTCATTTCGAATATCTGCAACAGAACTTAAGTCTCTGCTAACTTCAGGGTATGTTGGTTGTTCTTTTACAGGAACAATATTGCTATACCATCTTCGTCTTCGTATGGTTTCCCCACTTCAACATCTCTGTCTTTGACATTGACAACAACACTTTGACTGTTTGTTTGAGTTGGTGAATTTAACTTCACATCTGCCACCGCCATTAAACCTTTTGAAACACTTACGCTTCTATTTTTCGGAAATGACATTTTACTTAGAATAAAAAGATGGACGTATTTGAGTATCTCTTCGAATTGAAGCAGAACAAAGTTTACACACACAAACAATACAAATACATTGACAGAATAGTTCTTTATACAAACAATGGTAAATGTTATAGAATAGCAGTCTTTGCTGAACCAAAATATTCCATAAAGCAAAGAAAGTTGGTATAACTGAAATGGTGAAAGTTCTTGAAGCAGACAAAAATATAACAACAAAACTGACCGATATTTCTAAAGGAAAGTTTATAATACAATTTTATGTCAAAACTGGCGTACTGTCAATATTTGACGGAGAGAAGTCAGTTCAAGAACAACTTACTGACCTGCTGCCAAAATCTGCTCGATGGAAGCTGTCGTTATGCCAATCTGAGGAGCCCCAGCAGGTTTCATCGAACGAATCTTCAAAAGAGCATCTTCCGTGAAAAGTGCTATTGGTTTTGTAAACTTTCTTTGCTTTCAATTCATCTGGACCGTCTCTGTCACCAGTATATTGTATTTGAACTGTACCAACAGTTGAAATACCACCCATAAAGTCTTCCGAGTCAGCAAATGGAATGCCAAGCCAAAAGTTTGAACGGTCTCTATTTGTATATTGAGTTTTTTGACCTCCTGTATGAGTCCATACTTTCACATATGGCATAATAGAACTTTGCATTTCAGGGTTAATGGTTGTTGTGAAGTTGTTGTTAAAGTTCATAGCATCTAATGTCAAGTTGTATGACCTCATATCCTCAACTGTAGAATATTCTTCTCTTGGATAATATTTGCCATCTATGTTTATATGATATTTAATACCGGGGTTGTAGAAACAAGAATAGTCATTTATAGTTCGTCTGAACAGTACAAACATAGTATCTGCATGTTTCATTGCAGTTGTTAAAGCAATATCTGTTCTTGCACCTGGGTCAGCACTTTGGTTTCCAACTTCACCTGCAAAGTCTTTGACAGATATTTGGTGTATAGGGAACATAAGTGGAACTGCAATATATTTGGCAGCTAAAGCATTTGAAATATCTGGGTCCAACATATAGACTGCAAGTCTGCTTTCTATTCTCTTGCATTCAAACTTTTCGCATGTAAACTTAACTGGGTCCCAAGCAGTTCCAGCAGCATTGAAATAATAGTTTACTTCAGTGTTGAAGTTTGAGAAACCAAAGTCTAAGTCAACTTTGTCTTTGCAAAAGTCGGCGAATGACGTTTGATTTGCTCCCTTTACGTCTGTAAGAGTGAATGGGTCTTGTGTTGGTGCAATGACTAAGTTATTTTTGCTTGGAGTAAGTTCAATAAAATTTTTCCTGCCCAGTTTGGCAAGTATCTTAAAAAACCTGAAGATGAGGAAAGATGACAAAGGAACTCTAAGTTTCAATTTTACTTTGGTTACTGCTGCTGCATTTTGTCCAGAAAGGTCAACATAAACTCCTGGAACGTTAGGGTCAAGTCTTCTTATTTTCTCAATAGTTGCATACTGGTCTGTTTGTTCTCTAGCTTGTGGTTGTACTGAGTTTCTCAAAGCGAACCATTCATAGTTTGCCCATGTTACTGTTTGAACTAAGTCAGAGTTAGAATATATCTTATATCCCATGAAAACTTCTGGAGCATATTGGTATCCGACATAGAAAATTCCATTGCAACCTTTCTTGTCAGACAACTTGGCAGAAGGTTTTATTTCAATGTCTTGTTCCACGTATAAGAATGAGTTGTCAATAGAAATAATATGAAAACCTGTCGCATGCAATATCTTACTGTTGTTGAAGAACCTTCTCCAAACTCACCTACGTTTCCATAAGAAACAGCAGTTGTATATTCGTAAGTTCCAGGAACTATTTCTGACCTTCTAATGGCATTGTCGCATTCGTTATACCATTCGGAAACATTTCCATTCATAGCATCCAAAACTGTTGGCGTTATATTCTGAGCGGCGTACATTTCATATGAGTAAAAATATAGAATAGTTGGATTTATATGTCATAATAGAACCCACGTGGACCAAGCTTTACTTTCTTCCTGACTGAGTTTTTAACTCTTCTTTTTCCTTCATTGCCCTCTGCTTGAAGTTGTTGCATCTTTGCATTATGTTCATCTAGTATGTTGCAAATTTCCCATGTCCTTTTTGCCTTTTGGCTCTGGTCGCCCATCTCAGGTAACCTATATCCTAGAAAGAGTTTGTCATAGTCTGTATTTGAGTCTTCGCGTATTGTTTGCATGACTCTGTCCTGAGTTTCCGGTTCAAGCTCTTCAAACAGAGCCTGTCCATATGGAATATGCTCGTTTCCAAATATATGTTTTTGTAGCCATTCTGGTTTTCTTTCCATGTTACCAACTATATCTTTTGTGAATGGGAAAGCTTCTACCCAATGTTTCAGTCTTGCGTCATTTATTTCTGTAGTTGGTTTTATTTTGTCAAGGAACATGTTTTTCAATACTAACATTTCATCTGGTACTGTCCATTTGAGTTTTCTTAAATATTCATCCCTTCTCAGTTCATTGTCTGCAAAGTAAGTTTTTATGACATTTTGTAAACTTTCGTTTGCAAGGTCATGTACAATAGGTTCTCTTCCTTCGCTCTCCCTAACTTTCTTTCTAAACTCTTCACCAAATATACCATCTCTATGGTTCTGTGTAGTTCTTTGAGATAAATGTTCTAGAACGTCAGGTGTTATATTTCCATCAGCCATGTTCATTTCATACTGGTCCAAAATATCTGCATGTTTCATATCTTTCAATGGCATTAAAGCCGCGCTGAAAATACCAGCTATATCTCGTTCACCATTCGCTTCCATTGCGTCTACAACTTCTTGGAATTGAGGTTGTAAGTTTATGAACCACCTATCCGGATTAGCTTTATGACCCCATCTCATTGTAGTTCCATCGTCTGCAGAAACAAAAGTAGGTTTGTTTCCATCTTGGTTAGGTTCTGAATGAACTTTAAACAATGTTTCATTTCTATATGTTTTCTTGAAATTTAACCTTTTATTTTCACCGAGTTCATCCGAAGATTGAACGTTAAATGCTCGTAAGTAAAAAGGATTGTTGTATTTGCGTACATTTTCTTTCAGTTCTTCCATTCTTTGCTGAATATTTTCATCTGATGTTGGAGTCTTTTGTATGTCGGCGAACATTTTTCGATATTCTTCTACTATGTCAGCCGAATTTTTTTTAGACTCTTGGAAAGATTCCATATTCTCCGCATACTCTTGTTGAGGGTCAAGATTTTTCGGCTGTTCCAAATCTTCATCTAGTTCTGTGAGGTTAGTTTCCAAAGGAGGGACTTGTTCGTTTCCTTCAGGCTCTTCTAGCTGTTGTTGCTGAACTATTTCTTCCATGTCTGGTTGTATCTGAACTTCTTCCTGTGGAGTTTCTTGTACCTCATCTGCTGGCATTTCATATATTCCGAGACCGTTTTCAACAATTTCCCTATCTACGTCATCCGCATTCATAAGCTTTTGTTCTTTCGTTCCGTCTCTATTTTTTACGCGTTTCATGACGAAAGTTGAATTGTCATTTAGCTCTGACATCAAATATCTCGGAGTAAATTCGTTCATGTCATTTGGATGATATGCTATTAAATCATATCCCTTAGCGAGCTTGTATTTTCCAGGTTTGAGATTATATCCGTTTTGGTGCTGAGCCATAAAGCTAAATAGGTTCGGGTCAGTATTTCCATCCTTGAACTTTCCAATAGCTTCTTTATATCTGTCACTAAAGTCAACAGTATCTGGGAAACCACACTCTTCTTTAAGCATTTTTAAGAATTCTTGGTTTCCTTGTTCTCTACTTCTTTTATGTCCTTGCTCTGTTTGTGGTTGTTGTTGTGCAGGGTTTTGAACTGTTGGTTGCTGTGCTGGTTGTTGTGTTGGTTGTTGTGTTGGTTTTGGTGCATGCCTGTGTCTGTGTCCATGTGACGATGTAAATGTTTTAGGTAGTCCTGGTGCAGGTGCTTCTCTTGGAGGGTTTGGTGGTATATAAGTTCCACCAGCTGGCACATATGTTCCATCTGCAGCGTAATGTCCTACCTGACTTTTCGTTTTTAAGAAAGCATTTACTAGGTCTGTTTTGGTCTGTTGTAACTCTTTTTCTTGACTTTTCACAACAGTTGCTCTAACGGCGTCATAGGCACTTTGAACCGCCTGTCTCGTTGCTGCATCTGTTATTTTCGTCATATTTTGTGCTACTTCTTTTAACTCTTTGTCGAAACCTTCAGACTTCAGTTTCTTTCCAGATGAGAAGTCGTTCACTTGTTTCACCTTACTATGAAGAGCTTCGAAGGCGTTCTTAAAGTCAGCATTTGTTAAAGTTTCATTTGAACTGTCTTCATCCGCTTGTATTTTTGTCCTTATTGACCCTATGAGTTGGGCTGCTTTAGCGTTGGCTTGGGCATCTAACCAGTCATTGTTAGCTTTTATATATTCTGCGCTTTTCATTGCCTTTTGCATGGCTGCGTCGTTATTTTTACTTTCTTGTGCTAAGTTTTCATACTGTACGGTTTGGTTTTGCAACTGTAAAAGTTTTTCTGCCTTTACATTTGCTTCAACTTCTTTTTTATACTCATCGCTATCCATATATGTCTTCAGGGCTTTTTGTTTTATCTCTTCATCTTTCAGTACTTTATATTGAGTAGTATGGTTTTTCAAATTTATAACATCTTGTTCCATTTTTGCTACTTCTGCTGCTTTTTCTGACACTTTTTTCGCATATTCCTCTGTACTTAGTTCTTTCAGTTGTTCTTCTTTCTTCTTTTTCTCTACGTTTAACTCATTGAGTTTCTTTGTGTGTCTGTCATATTCTAGTTTCTTTTCGTTTTCACTTATTTGTTTCTGTATGTCTATGTTTGACTTTTTGACATCTGTTATTTGATTTTTGAGTGAACTCAAATTCATTTGACTTTGAGGGTTATAGGCTGTTCCGTCTGCAGCTCCACCATAGCCTGCCATTTTCGCTAAAAGTGCCGCTCTTAAACCTCCACTCTGTGCACCAACAACTCGGTTTAAAAGCATAGGATTGCTTGACATTTGTTGCAACATAGTGGGGTCATTCATTATTTGTTGTTGCAACTGTTGTTGTGGTGTCAGTTTTACTATTGGATGTTTCAATGCTCTCTTCCTCTTACGTATATTCTTACGTAGCTTACGTGGCATTTTAAGTGAAGTTAAAAAGCGGTTTTTGACAGATGTTTTGTTGTGACTTCTTCGTAAAGACTTTGTTGAGATTTCTTCATAAATGTTTTGTCAAGACTTCTTCATAAAGACTTTATTGTGACTTCTTCGTAAATGTTTTGTCAAGACTTCTTCGTAATGAGCGTAAATGACCCAAAAATAATGTTTATGTTAGAATGTTAGATCTAACACGTTTTCTAACATGTTTTCTAACATGGTCTAAAACATACAAAATTCATGAAATTTCATACGGAATTCAATAAAAATAATGTTTATGTTAGAATGTTAGATCTAACCTCTTTTCTAACATGTTTTCTAACATGGTCTAAAACATACAAAACTCATGAAATTTCATACGGAATTCAGCAAAAATAATGTTTATGTTAGAATGTTAGATCTAACCTCTTTTCTAACATGTTTTCTACCCTCTTGAATTTTCATGATTTCATCGTAAATGTTTTGTCAAGACTTCTTCGTAAAGACTTTGTTGAGATTTCTTCGTAAAGTTCTTCATCGTAAAGACTTTGTAAAGTCTTTCTCATGAACTTTCTTGTCAATGTTTTGTTGAGACTTTGTAAAGTTCTTCATCGTAAAGACTTTGTAAAGAAAGTTCATGAAAATTCATGAGGTTAGAAAAGAGGTTAGAAAAGAGGTTAGATCTAACATTCTAACATAAACATTATTTTTGTCTGATTTTACGAAGAAGTCTTGACAAAACATTTACGAATAAGTCTTGACAAAACATTTACGAAGAAGTCTTGACAAAGCATTTACGATGAAATCATGAGTTTTCTACGATGTTAGAAAACATGTTAGAAAACGTGTTAGATCTAACATTCTAACATAAGCATTATTTTTGTCTGATTTTACGAAGAAGTCTTGACAAAACATTTACGATGAAGAAGTCTTGACAAAACATCCTCAGGGCTAGAAGGCACGAAGTGCCTGGAAGCCCCACTACCTTTTTTTTTTTTTTTTTTTTTTTTAAATACTTAAATACTTGAATGTTTTAACTTTTACATTATCATATAGACTCTCAAATTATTAGCCATTTTGGCTGAGAACTATGGTCTGCGAGGTACATAGATAGAATCAGTACCTCGCAGACTATAGTTCTCTATATGGCGCCGAAAAATTTTTGGTGAAATGTCGTCGCATTTCACCAAAAATTTTTCGACGCCATAGGAAGAATTGGAGGGTGTGAGATACTATTACATGCTATAGTACTCACACCCTCCAACTCCCAATCAAAATCGCATAAAATTTGCTACTTATCTTCAGATTACCTCCCATTATAAAATATATCATTGCTATCTCATTGTACTATATTTCCACCCGATTGTATTTAAAAATATAAAATTTTTTGATAATATATTTTTATATCTTGAATTTTCAAACAATATATTCACAGATAATATAATGGGAAATCTATCTCAACCTAGCCTTAAAGTACCAAACTCCTGCTTGCATTCTCACTCACAAATATTAAACATCCATCTCCAAAAAACTAAATTCTTCACAATTTTTTTAAAATTGAGAACATAAAAAACGTATGCATTCAATAATTTAAGATACTAACAAATATTAAAAACTTCAAAATATCAGATATTAACGTTTTTCAATTAAAAAAAGATCATTTTGCTTTTCAATTCGAACATAAATCTTAAATATTTTTAATTAATATCTGATTTACAGCATTATTATCCATTTATAAATCTGACAAATAAATGACAAAACCATCAGAAATAGTGTCACTTTTGCCAAAAGTGAAGTCACGCTATTTTTCATGCACAACAGTATACTTTTTTGATGGCTGCTGCAGATTCTGTATCTATCTTGAGCTTGTAACTGCCTGCCTCCTCGATTCTGCTTGCTTGACCTTCATCGGTATTGACAATTGATATATCAGTTACAACTGTTTTATTCTTGATTCTATTTTCTAATCTATTTGAACCTTCTATTAATTTAAATTGTACGAACGTCAATACATTCAGCATTATCTAAAATGATTTCAAAACCTTATCAATTAATTCAATTTTTTCTGAATTATTACATTCCATTTCGTATTTTATTTATTTATTTTAACTATATTGATATAATTTTCAATTGTTCTTTCACTTCAATCCAATATATATATAAAAACCATTTAAAAGTGCACATTTAATACTTTTTGATCTAATTAAATTTCTTTTCAAACATTCATAATAAACATTTTCAAAAAAAATTCAATTGCTCATCAAAAACTTCCAAATTGAAAACAATTTAATTAATTTTTTACTAAAATCCTCAATATTGCCCTAATTGTTTGATTAAATTTCCAAATTTTACCGAATTAGATTTTACACTTTTCTGACTTTTTGTCAGGGAACGAAGCGACCCAAAAAATATCGGAAAAGTGTAATTCTCAGTAATATGATTAATTTTTCCATTTAACACCGAACAGCATTTGAATCAAAAATAATCGTATGGCTGAGAATTTAATTTTGGCAAACCCAAATTTTAGCTAAAAGCGACAGGGGAAAAAACGTTTAGTATTAAAAAAAGACCGATGAGAGCTTCGTTCGAAATATAGAGGGAACTGAGAATGCGCAACCATTCTCAGGGAATATTGGATGCTATTTCCGTTCCCTCTGTATGGAAAATTGAGGTTTTCAAAGGGAGTTAAAATAATATCAAATTTATACTAATTTACTTCAAAATACAAAAGTATTTGACAGCTAAAATTAGTTACTTTAGCAAGCCTATCAATACCCTTTTACGATTATTGCTACTTTTTCGAAATAAAAGTAAAAACAAATTTATACTAATTTACTTCAAAATACAAAAGTATTTGACAGCTAAAATTAGTTACTTTAGCAAGCCTATCAATACCCTTTTACGATTATTGCTACTTTTTCGAAATAAAAGTAAAAACAAATTTATACTAATTTACTTCAAAATACAAAAGTATTTGACAGCTAAAATTAGTTACTTTAGCAAGCCTATCAATACCCTTTTACGATTATTGCTACTTTTTCGAAATAAAAGTAAAAACAAATTTATACTAATTTACTTCAAAATACAAAAGTATTTGACAGCTAAAATTAGTTACTTTAGCAAGCCTATCAATACCCTTTTACGATTATTGCTACTTTTTCGAAATAAAAGTAAAAACAAATTTATACTAATTTACTTCAAAATACAAAAGTATTTGACAGCTAAAATTAGTTACTTTAGCAAGCCTATCAATACCCTTTTACGATTATTGCTACTTTTTCGAAATAAAAGTAAAAACAAATTTATACTAATTTACTTCAAAATACAAAAGTATTTGACAGCTAAAATTAGTTACTTTAGCAAGCCTATCAATACCCTTTTACGATTATTGCTACTTTTTCGAAATAAAAGTAAAAACAAATTTATACTAATTTACTTCAAAATACAAAAGTATTTGACAGCTAAAATTAGTTACTTTAGCAAGCCTATCAATACCCTTTTACGATTATTGCTACTTTTTCGAAATAAAATAAATTTATTATCAAAAACCTTTTTTTTTTCTTAGTAAAAATAAACGAAATTTTTTACCTTATGAACTTTTGATGGAAATATGCAAATTTAAAATAATAAAGAAAGCCGCGAGCGAAGCGATCGGCTTAGTTCGAAGATTTTGATTCAAATCTTTGCTGATCTGTAATTCGCGGAAGCCGCGAGCGAATCGAGCGGCTTAGGTCTAAGATTTTGATTCAAATCTTTGCTTATATTCCTTAAATTCTTTATGAAACTCGCAACAGTTCCATAAAAAATTTTAAATTCTAAACTGTCGAAATTACCGATCGGTAATCACACCCTTCATGGGTGTGTCACTTTTTACAGGCGTGTCACTTTTAGCTAAAATTACCCCTACTCTTTAATTTTTGGAATTCAATATTAAAATTATTCTTCTCTTCGATCAATGATAAATCTAGAAAAAAAAAAAAAAAAAAAAAAAAAGGTAGTGGGGCTTCCAGGCACTTCGTGCCTTCTAGCCCTGATGTTGATGTTTAGTATAAATGAAGTTTTTATTCGGAGGACTCTTCTTCTTCCTCCATTGCTTCTGGGAAGAAGCCTTCTTCTGGGTCGAAAACATTATATAATGTGTCGCTTTTCACAAATTATATATGTTTTCATGTTTTGTCACTTTTCTGTCACTTTTCAGGGAAAAACATTTTTATTATTATATATAAATGAATTTTACAAAACCACCGTTACCGTTCTTTGGAAATAAGAGTAGATGTAAAGATATTATATTGAGAGAACTTAAGAAACTACCGAATGGTCTAACATTTGTAGATTTGTTCGGTGGAAGTTTCTATATATCCCATTTATGTCATACAATATTCCCAGACTCAAAGATTATATGCAATGACTTCGACAACTATATGGACCGTCTCAAACATATACCAGACACTAACAAAATATTGAAAGAGTTAAAAGAAAAGATTCAGATAGGTAAGATGGAACGTATACCATTAGATAAGAAAAATATTGTGAGAGAGGTTTTGAAAAAAGCAGAATATATAGACTGGGATAGTATATCTGCTAGACTATTATATAGTGGTGCTATAAGAGTTCATGACATTGAAACACTTATGTCAAAAGTTTTATATCTTAACTATACAAATGTTTTCAAAGAGGACATAGAAAAATATATTGAGGGTATAGAGTTTGTGAGATGTTATTGGACAGAGTTGTATGAAAAATATAAAGACAAGGAAAATGTTTTCTTTATAGTGGACCCGCCGTTCTATAACACATGGGATTTTCAATACCAAGTAGACTGGACTTTGAGAGACTCTTTAGAAACTTTAGACGTTATACATAACCATCCATGCTTTTACTTTACATCCGATAAAAGTGGTTTGGAAACCGTTATGAGATGGTTAGAGGACATACATGACTATGAGTTTAGATATGACAAGATAGAATATGAGAGAGGTCCTATAAACTGGAGAAAGTGTCACAATAAAGAAATTTTATTAGTAAGTAAATGTGGTTTGAAATAGGACTACTTGTTTTAGGTTTTTTCCATTGTGTCATTTATTTCTTTGACGTGGCAGAAAAGTACAGAGAATATGAAGATGAACCAATGCCTGCAAATGTTCAGTATATGTACTCGTAAGAGATATTTTTATCTAATATTAAATGGACGCACAGAACTTAGCGAATGCACAGCAACCTGGACAACCAAACCCAGAGAATATTCCAAATGAAGTTAGAATACAAACTGCAATGGCAAACTATGGTCAAGTGCCAACAGATGTACAAATGCAAACTGCCATGTCAAATGACGCTGCGTTAGGTTTGCCACCATGGTATGCAAATATGAGATGGAAAGAGTTTTATACAAACCCTGAAGTGGGATATAAACAACTTTATGCAGATGACGCAAACACAGGAGTTGACCCAGAATATGTTTTCTACCAGAGGAGAAACAGAATGTATGAGCTCCAGTTAAAGAATGCTATGGAACTCAACAGGAAACGTAAGAGACTAGGCGGACATTAGATTTTTACATATAGTAAAATGGGTTTCTTCAGTAGTATTGGAAACTTCTTTCGAAATGTTGGAAGAGGTATATGGAATGGAATAAAAACCGTAGGAAGAGGAATTTGGAACGGAGTCAAAAATATTGGTAAAAGAGTAGGTCAGTTTGTTGGTATTATACCTAAAGACCCTGAACCAGAAGAACAAGCTCCTGTTATACAACAGCCTGAACCTGCACCACAGTCTAGTTGGCAACCAAATCCAACACCTCAACCGTATTAAAAAATTATATTTTTTACCGTTCGATAGTAGTTGTATATGAAACTAAGTTCTAAGTAAAACGCATGGTATAATGGAATTATTCTTTTTCTTCCATCTGTAGTAAACCATACTTGAAAGTCTGAAATACTTCCACTTGGTGGTTCGTATAACTTTGTAGGTTTTTCGTAAAAGTCATTTGCCAAGCATAAGAAAGAGTTTTGGGCGCCAGAAAATGAAGCATGAACAATAATAGCAGCTGGGTCGAAAACATCTTTAAATAAATATGGTTCATCTCTTGCATATCGACTGTAAATATTTGCTAAAGGAAGTTCGACTTTCTGATTTAACATTCTTTGCAAATAATACCATGACATTGCAGTGAATTCTGTATATATTTGTTCGTCTTTCTTTGGATTGTCTTCGTAGATTTGAAATGACACTTGTGAATTTTGTTTGTCATATACAATTCTCACATAAAGTGTGCTCTCGGTATTTGCATATTCATCAGCATATTTTGCATAACATGAATTTATTTTATCTTCTATATTTTTTAACGCAGTCTGTAGAGAAGATGAAAGGTCAACTTGTATTAGCTCAATTTCTTCCCACATTTTTCGTTTCCCTTCAGATATATAATCTATATGAAACCTTACAATAAATGGAAAACTTTTATCTTCTACAGACACAAACTTCATTCTACGAAAGCCAATAGCTTTTGTGACAGATGGGTCTCTTAACCATCTTAATGGGTAGTCAAAACGATAGCCTTCATGCTTTACGGTCTCTGTCTCAAACTTTTGACCGACATTAGTAAAAAGTTCATCTAATGGTTTAGTTGTAGCAACTCTTGAATTTTCTTTTTCTATTGGAAGCATATTTTATCTAGAATAAAAATGTCGAAAGATATTGCTTCTATGAGAGAAATACAACACAACCGACAACTCATTATGCAAGCTCTAAATAAGAACACAACAAACTTTTCAAACTATTCTAAGATATCTGAGTCATTGAAAGAAGGAAACTTAAAACTGACATTAAACCCAATGACAGATGAGTTTCTGTTTCAAGACAATAAGAACCATACTGTCTGTATAAATCCAACAAAAGGAACTTTAAACGAGAAACCTATAAAAGAACTTCTTTTGAAAGCAGATATTGACAACAAAGCTGACAAAGAATATGTAGACGATGAGTTAGCACGTGTGGCTAGTGCGTTAGTGAAGAAGGCAGATAAGGAATATGTGGATGAAAAAGGTAATGAAATTAAAGAAAGGGTTGAATGGTATAATGAAAGGACAACAAAGATTTTAAAAACTAAAGCCAATACAGGATGGGTTTCAGGATGTTTAGACCTTAAAGCCGACAAAGAAACTGTAGATATGTTGGCACAAACGGTTTCAAGTCATACCAGAGGTTTAATGGAAGATGGACAACAGTTGAAAGAGCTTGAGAAAGGTGTTACAGAGTTAAGGAATACAAAAGCAGACTCGACATGGATAAAAGGATATGTAGATGCAACAAAAGAACGTATTTTCGCATGGACAGAAGGAACATACCCACAAAAATATCATAGACATAGCATCTCTGACGTAAATGAACTTGAAGAAAAGTTATATAAAAAAGCAGACAAAACAGAGCTTCAAACATTAAAGACAGAAATACTTCATACAGTATATCCTATAGGTTCTATTTATACGTCAATGAACTCTACCAGACCAGAAGTAGTACTTGGTTTTGGAACTTGGACTCAAATAGTCGACAGGTTTTTGTATTGTGCAAACTCTTCAAAGGAAACAGGTGGAAGTAAAACGATTTCAGGTGAAAACCTACCTGCACACAGTCACTACATAGATTTAAGTACATCTCAAGCAGGTTGGCATAAGCATAGATATTGGGATTGGTCAGGAATGATAAAAGGTAAAGGATATGATGTTAAAGACAACGTTAAGTTTGCTATAGATTGTTACTGGAGTAACACTGAGGGAGGAGGAAACCATACACATCGCGTTTCAGGGTATACGCAAACAACGGGACAAAGTAAAGACTATATGCCACCTTACATGACAGTTTACGCATGGTATAGAATTGCTTAGTCGTCATTTTCAACTTCTTTAGCATATTCGTCAGGAGTTGTCTTATATTTGTTAGGAACTGTCTTTGAAAGTATACCACCTTGAACTTTGACAAGTTTGAAACGAGGTCTGACAATAGTAGTTTTATCTTCTGCTTGCAGTCTGTACATTTTGCCATGTTTGCCTAAAACTTCATAATATTCTCTTGTATACTTTCTTCTATTTTTACGAACACGAAGGTGAGTACCTGTCGAGTTCCCATTGTTGTCATAGTCAATAGTATTTTCATATGGGTCGCGTTTAGGTATTTCTATTTTTACTTTGTCACCTTTCTGAAGTTTGAAGCTCGGCATTCTTTCTTGTTTGTCTCTTTTGACTAAATTATTAAATATATAGTCTTTCTCTAAGTCAGGGTTGTTTTTCATTTCTTCGGGGGAGTGGTTTCCCAAACCTTTTTGTTTACGGTTATTGTAAATATTTAAAACTTGTCTCATCTTTGCCTGGGAGAAGTGTCTATATTTGTCGTCATATGACATTTCATTTGCTTCACCACCTTGTGGTTGGTTTAAGTCTCTTAAGATTTTTATACAACTGTCAATGACACCAAGAGCAGAATGGTTTTGGTCGACAATGAAATATTGGTTTACATTTTTTGAACGCAGATAGTTTTTTACATCGTCTGATTTGAAAGAACTTTCACAGTCAGATGTCAGTTTTGTTGGATGGTATTTGTCAACGAATATTGTCAAAGCTGCTAAGATATCTAAAATATTTTTGGACTGTAATGGTATGGCTTCACAGTATCTTGTGTTTTGACCAACAAATATTAGCCAGTATGGTGGTCCATCTTCTCTATACCTCGGAATGTTTTCCAAGATATCCATAAACCAAGCATTTGGTGTTGAACTAAAGATTTTTACCATGAGTGCTTTCTTTGTCGCTTTAGAAACATAGGGGTCCTTGTTTGGATTCGTCATTTTTTAACCCATAAGAAATGGGTTTATTTGGCGCATTAGCAGGAGTCGCATCCAGATTTTTACCCGCAGTGGGAACAATAGCCAGAGGTGTATTTGGAGTTGGAAGGAAGATTTTGAGTACATTAGGTATACTTAAAGAGAAAGCACAACCTATTATACAAACTGTACAGAAAGGTTGGGATGTAGCACGAGATGCAGCAAATCTTATTCCAAATCCTGAAACAAGAGGAAAAGTTCAAGGATGGATGGACAATGTAGGAAGACAAGCAGGAAACTATTATAACAAAGCAAATGACTACTATAACCAAGCAGGACACTATATGGACCAAGGTGAAAGATTCTTTAACAGAGGATATAACCATGCACAACAATGGGTAAACAATAACCAACCTCAACCGCCTCAAACGTGGGGAATGTAAAGTTTTTTACTGAGATGAAATGAACAATACAGCATTGAGACAAATGGGTTCAAGATGGATTTGTCGACTTCCAGCAGTTACACAACCACGTGTTTGTCAAGTTCTTCCTATACCTCAGGAAGTTTTAGACCGACTTAAAAAACAACAACAACCAGTTGAAAACAAACCAAACTAAAATTTTTTACTGAGATGAAATGACCGAAGAAGTTGAAACGGTAGATTTGACACCACAAACAAAAAGTTCAGAACCATTGTCAAAACCTGTCAAAGAACTTACAGATGAAGAGAAAAATTCAATAATAGAAAGTGCCAGGTCTGGAAATACAAACCCTAACTATAAAGTCACTTTTCATAGAAATGGAACGGCTAGTATCTCAAAAAAGAAACAGACTCTCACAAATAAAATATTGAAGTCTGAAGGAGCTTTCGAGACAACAGATGGAAAAGTTTACTTCACTGACCAACAGTTCATTATAGAACATCTCATTGACTTAGAGTCGAAATATTCTAAACTTTACAACAAACACAAAAAGTTGAAAGGAAAACAAAAACAAATGGCATATGATATTTATGAAGATGTTGACGACACAACTGTTCCTGCAAGTGAAGTAAAGTCAGAGGAACCGAAAAGTGACGAAAAACCGATAGAAGAAGAAAAACCAAAAACTGAAGATAAACCAAAACCAAAGTTTAGTTTCCAAACTAAACCAAGTCAACCTTCATTAGCTGGTATGGGTTGGCGTCAAAGACTTTTGGCAGCGGGTGGTTACGTAAAGTAAAGAAAAAACATTTTTTTTATTTTTATATAAAAATGCCTCTATATAGAATGGATAGAAAATCTGCTAGAATAAAAGCAGAGTTGCAAAGATATGGTTGGAAAGTTTCAAAGAAGTTTAAATATAGGAAGGGAAGACCCATAAAAGTCTATGACAAACTGTCTGGTCTTCGCTACGAAATGGACTTAGAAACAGCACGCGCAAATTATCCAAACAGACTAGAGAGGTTAGAAGAAGAACGTCTTATGAACTTGCCTTTCAATGTTAGTGAACCTCAAGTTGAAGGACACGACGGCTTTGCCAGATTCTATTGGAAACATGACGAACAATTGCATCCTTTGAGAAGGAAAAAAGGAAAAGGTGAAGACGCACATGCTCCCATGGAAAGAACAAGATATGCATATGAAAAGTATCGTGAAGTTAGAAGTCAAATTACATCTGGTCGAACCTTTACAGTAAACTTTGACGAAGGAAAGAACAAAGAAGGCTTCATGGGTGTACTTGCTGCAATTCAAGATGGAAATAAGAAAGGATACAATCTCAGACTAACCGTAACAGATTTAGATGGTCATATTTACTATGCACATGGCAATGAACAAACAGCCGCAAAACTTCTTGACGCTTTCAAGACTACAAAGAGAGAACAAATGGTTGACTCCGACTCAGACATTTTGAATGCAATTGAAGGAATTGTAAGTGTCAAGTTCGAATGGTACCAACATAACCCTCAAGCAGTCAGACAACATGTTTGTTAGATGAGAAGTAAAACATTGCATACTATTTTAAAACAATATTTTTTTACATATATTAAATGCTTCAGGTTGAAAAACAAAGAACAAAAGTAGCAGATACAAAACCGTTAGACTATATCTTTACAAACGCTGGTAGGAATATATCAGATGAAGAAATTTCATCCCGAGTATACAGATTTGACAGTTTATAGAAATGTGTTTGACCCTCAAAATGTCATGTGTCATGCAAGTTTCAGTTCAAGCAACAACAGTTTTCTTTGTATCGGTAAGGACTTTTATGACTTTGCTTCTAAATTCTACGAACCACCTAGTAACAGTTTCTCTGACTTTCAAGTTTGGTTCACAACAAACGGTGTGCAGCATATTATTCCATTGTACTATGACTTTTATCTCGAATTGTCTTTCATATATAACTACAGAAAAGTGCTGAAAAAGTATTGAAAATAATGTTTAGGTGAAGAGGTGACATCTCACCCGTTTTCTCACCTCTTTTCTCACCTCATGAATTTTCATGAATTTCATCGTAAATGTTTTGTCGAAACTTCTTCATCGTAATGAGCGTAAATGACCCAAAAATATAATTTAGGTGAAGAGGTGACATCTCACCCGTTTTCTCACCTCTTTTCTCACCTGTTTTCTCACCCGTTGAATTTTCATGAATTTTGTGCTGAATTCGACAAAAATGAGTTTTTGGTTGAAAAAAGAGGTGGAGCCAAAAGTGGCTCGACCTCAAAACAAGCATTTTGTGAAGAATATACCAACCCGCGGAAAACAGCGGGTTGCTTTTTATACAAAATTCAACAGGTGAATTTTCATGAATTTCCTTAAGATAGAAAAAAATATATTTTAGGCGACCAGGTCACTCGGTCACTCGGTCACTCGGTCAACTAACATCTTTTTGAAAAAGTGTGACAACATGACATTTTGACAACAACACAGGAAATAGATTTCATCGTATATTTTTTGTTAAGACTTCATCGTAAATGTTTTGTTGAGACTTCATCGTATATGTTTTGTCGAGATTTTTATCGTTGTGGTCCGACGGTTAAGCCACCAACGAATGTCCGACGGTTAAGCCAAAAATATTTTTTATTTTTATTGTAAGAACAGTATGACAGTCGAAGCAAAAACGTTCACGAACAAATCTAATGGCGAAACATTCACAAAAGGCACTTACAATGGTATTGAAGTCTTACGTAGAGACAAGGATGGTTATATAAATGCAACAAAGATGTGTCAGCAGTTTAGGAAAGACTTTAGAAGGTTGTTGGAAAATAAGTCCTGGGAAGAGTATTTTAAGGCATTTTGTGAAGAATATACCAACCCGCGGAAAACAGCGGGTTGCTTTTTATACAAAGTTCATGCAGGAATTCCTGATGAAATCAAACAGGTTAGAGGAATGTATGTAGACCCAAGACTTGTAAACTATATTGCAATGTGGGCTTCTCCAAAATATTGTATAGCAGTTGGAAAAATTCTGGACTCCATAGACAAGAAAGTTCATGAGAAATTAGATGAAGAAGAACTTGAAGATACAGTAGAGAATGCAAAACCTTTGTTCGAAGAAGAAGTTAGAAAAATGCATGAAAAACAAATAGAACATGAACGTGAGATATGTTCTGGTTATAGAGACTCGCCATACGAACTAGACCAATGGGAACAAGAAGATTTAAAGAGAGAATTTAGAGAATATGAACTCGCTAAGATAGCATTTGAAGCTGCAGAAGAGAGGTTAAAAGTTTGGGGTCGTTTTGTACAAAAATATTGTGAGTAAATGAACCATTTTTTTCGACAAAAATATAATTTAGGGTAGAAGGTTAGATCTAACCTCTTTTCTAACCTCTTTTCTAACATCGTAGAAAACTCATGAGTTTTATACAGAATTCAGCAAAAATAATGTTTATGTTAGAATGTTAGATCTAACATGTTTTCTAACCACTTTTCTAACATCGTAGAAAACATAGCACAAAAATATATTTTATGTTAGCATGTTAGATCTAACACGTTTTCTAACCTCTTTTCTAACATCGTAGAAAACTCTCGAAATTCATGAGTTTTGACACTTTCATAAAAAACATAAAAAATAAAGTTAGTTTTTTTAAAAAAATATTTTTTATTTTTATTGTAAGAACATGTTAGCAACTACAGCACCAAACTCGCTAGTTATGAATCCAACATCTATGTTAGTAGAGATGAAAAACTTCATTCCTTCTTCATATACTTTCGAAACAAAAATCCAGAAGATAAAGCAAGAACTTCTCCAAGGAGATTTAGACTGTAGTGCAAAAGATGAAACAAATGAACAGTATCTTTATGAAATGCAGGATATTATTGACCATTTACCCAAATTGCCTGAAATCCAACAACAAAAACTCACTATTCCCGAATTCGATGAAATAGAAGTCAAAGCAACTGACTCAGTAGAAATAAAGAAGTTCATACGTAAGGTAAACTATGAATTCCTTGGTTTTCATTGCAACCATAAGGTTATGGACAAAGATTGCGACATGGTATATAAGAATGTTTCTGACATATATAAATCGGTTGAGTTTAAAACATACGACAACTTTGTTTCATTAGTTGCAAAATGTGTTTGGGAAATAAGAGATAAAGATAGTAGGGGTAAGGTATGGAACGAACAAATAAGACCCGCTATGTTTGAGATGAAGAGAGCAATTGACGCCTTAGTCATACTAGCAGGTAAGGTTTCAGAATATAACGCAAAAATGAACCCGCAATGTTCAAAATGTAAAGCAGCAATGAGGAAATATAACTACTCCGTCAAAGAGATAGAACGTATGCGAAACGACTATGCAGATTTAAAGAAAGAAGCAGAAAAACCAGCAGAAGATAAAATGAACATGTTAGAATTTCTGAACAAAAACTATCCAACAGCAGAAGATTTCCTTTTATCTGACGTCAAGAAGAAATATAAAGAAACCTTCGGTATCGTTAAAACTTTCGACATACTAAAAGAAGAAATAGAAGCTACGAAATTGTTTAGAGTCATGAACCATCGCAACATATACCATGTAAAACGCTTGTAAATAGTTATGTTAGAAAACATGTTAGAAAACATGTTAGATCTAACATTCTAACATAAACATTATTTTTGCTGAATTCCGTATGAAATTTCATGAGTTTTGTATGTTTTAGACCATGTTAGAAAACGTGTTAGAAAACATGTTAGATCTAACATTCTAACATAAACATTATTTTTATTGAATTCCGTATGAAATTTCATGAGTTTTGTGTGTTTTAGACCATGTTAGAAAACGTGTTAGAAAAGAGGTTAGATCTAACATTCTAACATAAACTTTATTTTTGCTGAAAAAAATGACCAAATTTCATTATATAACTGTTATTTTTTGACGAAGAGAACTTTTGCACTTCGTAAAAAAATCCCTGAAATCATATCTTTTATACAAGATAGAAAAAATAAAGTTAGTTTTATTTTTTTATTTTTTTTTATTTTGTATGTAAGAACAGAAATGACAAACACTGAGTTTGAAACAGTTAAAAAGATAGACAATAACACTAAATTGGTTAGAATTGGTGATTTAAACGTAAGATACTCAAAGAAATACAACAAATATTCTTTGTCAGACATTATATCTCCATCTGGAAAGAAAACATCCCATTGGGTTGGAATTGCTTCTACTCAGAAAATTTTGACAAGAAATCCTGAGCTTATGATATCGGTAAGATTCTATGGAACTACAGCATATCTCATCGACAAAAGTCTTATACCAATAGTTTTGTTATGGATTGACCCAGTTGTTGGATATAACTTCATAACATATGGTTCATTCGATACGGAACGTTGCAGTGAAGGCTTACTTTACATCGTTCAGAAACCGAAGGACTTCAATACAAAAAGATATAAGATAGGAAGAACATATAATATAACTCAAAGATATGACAGTATAGTCAATAGAGTCAAGGTTGTGTTCGTTAACGATATGAGAGCTGCTGAAACAGAACTACTCGAAAAGTTTGAGAAAATGTATGGTGCTCCCACGAAAGGTAAAGAAACGTTTGAAGTAGATGAGATAGATAAAGCTATAAAATTATTTGACGAAGTTGCTGAAAAATACATGTAAAGCGTTTATTTTTGGTCTTTTGTGAAAGATAGAAAAAATAAAGTTATTTTTATTTTTTTTATTTTTTTATTTTGTATGTAAAGACAGATATGTCAACAACAGAGAACACAACAACAGTTATAGTCCATGAAGCCATAAATGAAGAATATGAGTACATACAGTTTAACAAACAACTCCGTCTCATTCGTTCGGTCAAAGACGATATGTACCAAATGCAAAGTATTTTGACAGCATGTGCTACACCAGATACTAAGAAACCACAAGACTGGTTTGAATTAAATAGCACTCATGAACTCCTCAGTGAGTTTGAACATGAAGAACTTAAAAAGATGTACCAAGACAGACAAAACTTACCATCACATCTAAAAGGTATATATGTTCATAAGTTCCTAGTTAGTTCAATAGCAATGTGGGCTTCACCTCGTTATGCAATCTACATACTTATGCTACTTGACGAACTTTGTACAAAGCAGAGAGAAGATATGATGAAAGAAGACAAAAGCATTCAGAAAAGAATACCACGTTCGGTACCAAAAGGAAAGGAAAAGAACTATAAGTATATGATTTACACTGAAGAGATGGAAAATGAAAGACAGAGATATGGTTATGTTGCATTTAGTCAGAAGAAACAACAAAAGCTTTTACGACCTTGCTAAGATTACAAATCTGACAGAAATTGGTTCTATCGCGAAAACTTACCGATTTCAATGAACACCAAATGAAGATGTGAAACAAATAGTTCAAGATACTTTACCTCAAACACACTATGATATTAAAGGTTGTACAATACTTACATTCAAAGAAGATTTGCCATTGTTAAAGGAAAAAATAACAGAGTATTTTGACAACTTCAAACAAGCAGAGTAGATGAACCATTTATTTTTGGTCTTGACTTCAGATGGCTCAGGTAGCTCAATTAGGTAAATTGTCTTGTCAAATCCTTCTGGCATTCCAAGTCCTTCCTTCCGACAGGAAGAACTCTTCCTTCTGGCATTCCGAGTCCTTCCTTCCGACAGGAAAAGTTTTTCTTTCCGACAGGAAAAAATTTTCTTGACAACTGGAAAAATTTTTCTTGTTGTTCGTCCGTAAACCATTCAAATTTTCGAAAATTGAGAACTTTTTGGTCGAACTTCAGAAAAAGTTTTTCCTTCCGACAGAAAAAGTTTTTCCTTCCGACAGAAAAAGTTTTTCCTTCCGACAGGAAAAGTTTTTCCTTCCAACAGGAAAAGTTCTTCCTTCCGACAGGACACAAACGGATGACTGACGTTCCTCTTCCTGAATGCCTTCCAAAGCCAGAAGAACAGCATGCTCCAGCACCACAACAGACTTACTAAGACTAAACATTTAATTTTCAAGCTTGCTTGGTTTGCACTTGCTGAGATATTCCTTCACGGTTTCATTTACCTCAATTAGATAAATTGCTTCGTCTAGGGGGTCAAGCTCCATACTGAGTCAGTACAATATTGTACTTTTTCAAGACAATGTTGTACTTTTTCAAGACAATGTTGTACTTTTTCAAGACAATGTTGTACTTTTTCAAGACAATATTGTACTTTTTCAGAACAATGTTGTATAAATTCAGTACAATGTCTCTCAAATTTGAGTACAGCTGTACTTTTTCAGAACAAGTCTTGAACTTTTTCAGAACAATGTTGTACTTTTTCAGAACAATGTTGTACTTTTTCAAGACAATGTTGTACTTTTTCAAGACAATATTGTACTTTTTCAAGACAATATTATATTGTTTCAGAACAATATTATATTGTTTCAGTACAATATTATATTGTTTCAGAACAAAGACGGTTAAGACACAAACGGATGACTGACGTTCCTCTTCCTGAATGTCTTCCAAAGCCAGAAGAACCGAAAGCTGCAGAACCACAACAGACTAAGACTCAAACACTTAGATTTTTCAAGCTTGACCCCTCACAATTTGAACTTTGTTTGCGTAGATATGAATTCTGAAAGAAGTATGAGGGTCTTGTATGACTTTGTACTTCTCCCATAGTTCATGTCTGTCAAACTTACCTGCCATGGACTCTTTCATAAGTTCCATGAAATCGTCTTCGGACAATCCAGGGAAAAGTATGATATCAGTAAGTATTCTTTTAACATCCTTACTTAAACTCTTTGCTGTCTGTACACATATTACGACTGAGATGTTAAAGTGTCTGAGCTTCTTAAGAATTCGACACATATCTTGTTCTCTATTCTTTAACAAAGGATGAGAGGCGAAATCATCTAAGATAAGAAGACATCTATGAGGGTAGGTCTTCCAATCGTAAGATTGCAATTTCTTCGAAATGTATTCTATCTCTTTCTGTTTGTTTCTGAAGTGTTTCTTCTCTAATATTCTCTGCATTTCCTCATTTGGGTCTTTAAACCTCGAATTGACATACTCATTTATAGCATTGTACTTCAAAACTCTTCTTTGGTACTTCTTTATCCAATCTAACAACTCAGTATCTTTATACATACTAACTTAGACTTTTTATAATATCTTTGAACGAATTGACGGTTTGGTCAAATTGACCAGAAGTACTACAAATGACTACTAACTCATAGAATGGGTTCTTCTCATCTAGTTCTTGTTGTTGTGCAGCCATTTTAAGATAAGTGAAAGTCTTACCCGACCCAGGTGGTGCAATTAGACCTGTTATACCATTCTGAGCAAATAAGAACTTGTCATGTATAGGCTTTATCTGAGCATTTTCTAACTTCCTCTTGTTCTTGTTTAAAACATTCTCAAATTTCTTGTCAATGTCAGCAAACTTTTTTTCTAACATATTTTTAGAAAAATTAAAATTTTTATCTTTTAGAAAATGTCTAGCGATTTCGCTATCTATATTCGAGACAAACTTTTTGACAGCAAAACATCTGTCGACCATAAAATCTTACATAGTGTAAACAAGAAAGGGGAATTTGTTCTAAAGTTCTGTTTCTGGGAATATGACAAGAACCATAAAACATTAAGCAGAGAAGTCTTTAAGTTTGTCAATGACAGACTTGTTGACAGAGATGACGCCGATTGGAAAGATGAAGTCCAACAAAAGTTCTTAGAATGCAAAGAAGACACATGCGCTGTTCTTGAAGATGAAATAGAAAACAGAATAGATGAGCTATTAAAGGACAAAGAACTTTTACATAAATATGGTTGCGCCAAATTTGACATAACTCCACCAGAGAAGAAGAAGAGAGAAAAGAAGAAGAAAGTAGAAGAAGAGAAGAAAGTAGAAGAGAAGAAAGAACCTGAACCAGTTCCAGAGAAAAAGAAATTTGACATGTAAAAATAAAATTTTATTTTTAGAACATTTCTGGGTCAATGTCAATGTTCTCTTCCTCTTTAGGAGCAAACACTGGCTTAGACTCTAAAATCTTTTTACCCAATTTACCTTGAACTTCAACTATCTTAGACTCATAATATTCATAGTCGTCTGCTTTCTTTGGTTCATAAGGTATAACAAGTTTGTATGCTTTACCTTCTTTAAGGTTTGAGAACCTTCTGTCAAAATTTTCTTTGACTGCTAACAAACCTTCTATGTCTAAGTCTTCAAATTTCGCACCATTTTTAGTCACAATAGCAAACTTAACTGGTTCGATGTTCCAAACTTTGCTGAATGAAGACTTTTCAAATGGTAGAATAAACATTCAAAATAAGCGAATGGGTCTAGTTCTTCTTTGACTTCTGTCATATACTTGTTGACTGAAATATATTTCGTCATCTTTTTCTATCGGATAAAAAAATTTTTTTTAAATTTACTCATAAAAATTTTTCTTTGTATATACGCCGTTCTGTATGTCTAAAAGATTTTGACATTTGCCAAGAATGTTCGTTTAGACGCTGCATATAACCATATTCTTGACAATATTGTTTATATTCATCATATAAAGACTTTCATCTAAACACTCAAAGTTAGTCTCATCTATAAACAGTTCATATACAC